GAACAGCGACTGCCATCACTAGAACAGCGACTCCCATCACTAGAACAATGACTCCATGATGGACTCATTGTTCCGCTGCTGAGAACATGAACTCTAAAGACACATGAGGAAGTAGAAGGGCCCTCAGAGAGCGGAGACCTGTTAAAGGAAGTCAATACTAATCTGTATATAACACCCGGTGATTCGGGTCCACTCCAGAGTGTAACGGGTTGTTCCTACATCACAACTTATAAATATCAGGCCTGTAGTTATAATCCTGCAGTCAGACAGACGAACAACAAACACAACCGGAAACACAACCTCCTTGGTGGTCAGCTCAGCTCTATGTCAGTCAGGACTCAAAAAGTTTGTCCAACAACAAATGAAGACACTTTGCTGGAGCAGAAGAGCTCACCAGATGTTTTCATTAAGACTACAGAACAACACCTGTCCAATCAGAAACCAGACGAGACACGGACTGCAGTTACATCAGCAGCCATCAAAGAGTGACGCGATGGATGTCTTCAAACAGTCAGCTGCTGCTGTTCTGCATGAATCCACATAAGCATGTCAACAGAGCTCGCCTGCAGAGTTCTGATCGTTTTGTTCTAGCAATCACCAGAAAAACAAAAACATTGTTTTTTGTTCAAATGCTTAAAATGACCAGCGAGCTCTTGCAGTGTGAATATTGACTTCTCTCAACAGGATGAAGTGCTGCACTGTGACGTCATTCAACTGAGAAGTAAACTCTTCATGATCAACGTGAAGGCTTACTTGTCATAGAGCTAAACTCACTTTCACATTCAGTGTTGAGATGATGTGTTCAGAGAGAGAAGCAGCACACACACATGTATTTAAACATGTGTTGAAGTGGAAGAGAGAACTGCACATAGGTTTTTAAAGCTCTTTCTTTAGTTTTGATGCTTCACAGATTGCTGTTTTTGTAAATTAAATTAAAGTCAATTTTGAGTTATCAGTGAGCGTCATCAAAAAAACAGCAGAGCCAGGCCGAGCAGTGACGAGAGTCTGAAAACAGACAAGTGAAACCAGTTCATCCTCTGAACCCCAAAACCTCCATCAAACACAACTACTCTGTTCTGTTAACGGTCTACGAACACACATCTACACGTAGCACATCTACACGTAGCACATGTACTCACCATGACATGTCCAGATGTAATGCAAAACAAAACTGTTTTAAAAATGATCAAACCGTTGTGTCTTTATACACAGAGTGATGCTACAGCTACACACAGCTACACACAGCAGTGTTAGACAGTTTTAGACTTGTGGTTATTGGTGTAAATTAAACCTAACCAAACTACTAGGTTAGGTTCAGTAAAAGACTAAGTTTGTGCTGCTGGTGGTCTCCTCCACCACACCGGACCGTCTCTCTAGTCAGACTCATTATAACTCATATGTTTCCCTTGAAGAGTAATAATCAGCTTGTCGTTACTTCACTGTGCAGAGCGCACACACACTGAAGGACAGCAGGAGACAAAACACACATCAGACAGAAACCACTAATCAAAGCAGAGTATATTTATGTAGCATGTCTAAAGACAAAGTGTGGAGGAGATCTTTAAGTCTCCGTCAGGTTTTAAAAGCACAGAAGAAGAACGATGAGAGAAGGTCTCTGTTGTGTTGGGAGATGTGATCTCCTAAACTGCCTCCTTCTTGCTGGTTTGTCTCCAGCGGTAAAGAAAAGATGCTCAAGAGAAGCAGAGCTATCCGCTGTAGTCAAAGCAGTGAGCTGAACTAAAGCAGGGAGGACTCTACAGCGCTACTCTAGGAGTCACCTCTGGACGCCTGCGTGCACCTGTGGAGGATCTTTCCTACGGTGTAAAGCACTGATGTTTGGTGAAAGCGCGGCAGAGGGAAACAGAAGCACACGGTGCGTTAGACCAAAGACGAGTAAGAAAGAAAACATTTCTCAACATTGAACCGGTTTGATTTGGTGAAAATCTAAGTTTTAAAAGAATGTAATAATATCTCAAAGCTAGATTTTTAAAATGAGTTTTGGAGATGAGTCGTTGTGTTGATGATCTATTTCTGTTGCTGGACTCTTCCAGAGGTTCAAGTCGCTCTAATGTAAAATATCCCTTTACATGACCAGAGAGGACGACTGTGACGAGCAACAGAGTCGATCACATAACGTGTTTTAACTCTTTAAGCTGTTAATCCATCAGAGCCTGTTCAGCTAAACCTTCACCAAGAGTGCCAATAAGTTGTGAGGGGAACTAAACCAGTACAATGTACCACTGTCCAGGCTAACTCCTCTCATCACTCTCTTTCTAGTAACTTCTTACACTCTGGATGTTACAGACAGCAGCATATGAAGTTTGGTATGTTGCTTCTTTAAAAGCTATCTGATGCTGAGGGCACATATTTCACCAGAGTGAGGTTCCTATTAAAGCTGAAAGCTGCAGACTTCAAACCTAAGAAAGCGCTAACGAACCTTCTCCTAAACACGATGGAGGGCACTCCTACCTGTGACCTGGGGAATGTATGGGATGGAGAGTCTCTCTGCGTTGTATCCCGGTCCAGCCAGACACTCCGCCATGTCGGCCGTCTGGAAGTACAGCTGTCTGTCCTCCTTGTCCAGAGATTCAGGGAGCCTGGCAAGAAGACGGGAGAGACACAACGTATTTAGATGAATTTGGATTTGGATGTTTTTTTGTTTTTTTTTAAGGGTGCCCACATAATCTGAATAAAGCAGAAGTGAGCGGTCTAGAAGCTCTGAAGCACTCTCATGTCTGGAATCCCTGAATCTTCCACTGCAGAGGGGCGGAAGCAGCAGAGAGGGATTTAAAATCGGAAATGGATTCTGGTCCTCATAATCTCTTAATCAGGTTTCATCAGACGCTGATTTTGGAGCGCAGGGTTACATATACATATACACATATATATACATATATATATACATATATACATA